TTTTATCACATTGCGGGGGACATTTGGTCCCAACAATATAATATACACATAATTCACACACACACACACACACACGCACACACACACACACACACACACACACAGTTATCCCCATGAGATCACCATGAATGACCAGATAAAATCAAAAAATAAAAAGCCAAACTGCACCTAATAAGCAAGACATCCAAGGAATTTCACAGTACTTTAATGTGCTCTGCTGGACAACAAGAATTTAAATCCCCCCCCCCCCAAATCCCCCTGTCTTTCACCTGTGTGGTCGAACAGCACAATGCTAAAAAACTAATTCACATCCATAACTAATCATTGTAAGTGATAAACCTAACAGATATATCACATAGTATACACCGGTAGTTCCCAATTGATGTAAATAATCCATTCCACAAGCCCTTATCCAAGTTAAATTATATGTATGTTGGATCTACTCTCCTACAGCGGTGGAAAGTCTACCTCCAGATTTTGTTCCAACCAACCAGGTGAGTACTCTGTCAATGTGACTTCATACTCAACTGGTTGGTCTGGAATTTAATTTTCTGAACACTGATCGTTCCACCCCTGCTCTCCTGTACCATTCGAGACACCTCACAGCAGACATCCCACCTCTTCTCAAAGTGCCGGGCATCTCCCACAAATGAGCCGCGGCACCCTGACAGCTGCGAACGATGCGCTGAAGATCTATCCACTGGGAATTAAAAGCGATCTGATGCAGGGGTGTGCTTTCTACCGCTGCCGTCCCCCGTCAACAAATTTCACAGCCACCGCTTGCCAATCCTCCCTCATCCACCCCTAAAATCAATATGCCTGAGGTAGGTTGTCTGTTATAGAAAAAAGCACATAAGCCTAAAATACACTAGTAATTGACACGCAAACAATACCAGGCATGTTACCTTTTAGCGTTAGTGCTTTGCATACTCCACGTATCTCGGATATTTTTTGTGTAAATCCGGATTTACGTAATTACGTAATTTACGCTGGTTTTTACGCAACTCTAGAGTTCCCTGTACATTTTCCTTGGCTTCTGGGACTTAAATACACCTTTCCTAAATAGACCTGACCAACATCTCCGTGTGGTCCTGCTCCATCCCTGTGAGCGACAGCACGCTCTGAAACTAATTCCACTGCCTGGTGTCGAAGTTGTCCAACACAGCACAATATTTGGTGACCTTTCCGTATGTCCAGCTCTGGGTCCACCCACTGCCAGCAGGATAATTACACAGCCTGGCCTGCGGTGATAGACTCCGATCTGACAGCCGTGGGTTAAGGCACCAGTCAACATAAAACGTGTCTTCGGCTACATCAAGAAAAAACAGGGGATCAAAAATACTCTCCACTCCTCCTCAGAAATAAATAAAAAATAATCTCTCTAGTCCCCCAGCCTTCATGTACACGGAACTTTCTAGAAGGAAACTGCAAGCCCTCGTCTTTGTGTGCTCGGGAAATAAAGATTTTGAAGCAAGAAAAGATGGTTTTCCTTGGGTAAATCTGGAGACATCACAAGTATGGGTCAGACTCTGTCTTTTATACTTCCTGTCATCATTAATGTCCTCATATCGCCAAGAGAGTTTTGTGCATTATCAAGAATATCTCATTTTCAAGAAACTTTATCTTCTCTCATTCTCATATTTAAGCTTACACCTACACTCAGTTAAACTTGCGGAACGCATAACAGCATTTTATACCATCATCAAGCCAACAATACTCTTGTGAAGACCAGATCTCCGTGCCTGACGCAAGGCAGGGAACGATGGCGGTTACTCGCAGTCACTTTGATGAACGTAATGCACAAGTTTGTACGCCGTAATTTACATGTGAATTCGCCTATTCATGCTCTCCCCGCATGTAGGCGGGAGACACAGAAGCAGATCAGAGAGACATCAAATGTCACTGTTGCTAGAAGCATAAATAAATAAATTTTGTCAAAATAAAAGACTCACTTCCTTTCATCGTTCTTTCCATCCGAGACAGAGGTCACAAAGGCAATGACAGTGACACTGATTCCTCCTGTGCTGAACATCGGTGCATGTCCGCGGAAAGATAACTCACACACAATACCGCTTAATAGCCCTTAACCAGCAGGGGGCAGTGTCGTTCAGGAGAGCCGGCCAGGCTTTTGGTGCTGAGAGCAAACCGGGTCCTTTGAGGGGTGTTGGAAAAGTAACACTCCCTTTACCCCCCCCATCATATGACCTGGCTGATGACCCCATGCATTAGCTACCCCAAAGGACAAAAAATGCACTGAGGAATGGCACGGTCTAGACTATCCATCGTGTAACTGGCGGCAATGTCCCTCTGGCCGGCATTTCACTGAGCAGCAATCCGCTTAAGCTAGCATTTTGCCCTGACACAGCGACGCCTGTCCGGCTTACGGAGATACCCGTATCTTGCTTCTCTCTTTTCCTACATGCGTTTGTGGTCATCCTGACCTCAATGCTAGTGATTCAACCCTGGGACGGATAAAGGACCACGCAGTCCTCAAGCATCAGGTGCACTTACAAGACAAAGGGATCTCAACAATCTCAGTTTCACCTCTTAAATTCCCTAGCAACCCCACCACAGAAATCGGGGTGTTTTGCAGCTGATTAGCACGACGCAGGCAGCTTGATTAGCCGTGTCCACCTTCAAACACTCAAGCACGACTGCCTGTGTTGTTCATCAAACCGGTGATTTAAACACAGCTTGCGATGCCTGTCTATAACCAGCACTAAATACGCAAACGTCTCAATTACGAGCCTCTGGGCTGTTCCCCACTGCACACAGCAGTAGTCTTTAATATTCTCTGTTTTACTGATTTTGTTCTTTTATAAAATGATTAACATGCTTTCGACTCTAAGCTTAAAATAAGCATGGCATTCACTGGGACTGGTTGCTATAGTTATTTGTCAGCGCACTAACACTAGCTCTAAATGAAACTTCTAAATGGGGCAATTTAAAGAAAGCACCATGCTCAGAGGTAAAAAAAAATAAAAAGTAAAGGTGAGTTGGTCTCCGTTGCCTTTCTGTGTCAGGTCTGTAAGCTGTTATTTACCCACTGCGTGTTGGACTTCAGACAATTACTGCACTTTTTCATGTCAGGAAGTGACATTTTAACAAAGTATTGACTTGAAAGGTCAGGGATGCCTTTAGTTCTGATGATTATTAGAAGGAAAGTACATTCAGAGTGAGCTTTCACGTGGCTAAGATTCGATAGAGAGACAGTTGCGAACTCCACTGGTAAATTGACCTGGGGGCCAGATGGCAAAATAAACTAAATCATTAACAGTTTCACTGTCCACCGAACCTGCCTTTGATGCAAACTTTGAATTTTTACCTTGGTGCTGAGGGGACAATTACGCGGAGCAGAGCATGTAGGCACTGCGTTGTCCACAAGGGGGCATGATAGCTGGGACAGATTTCACATGTTTCAGCGACACTGATCTTAAATCCCACATTAGAAATTAGCTGGAATCTCAGGTTCAAAATCAAATTCACAATAACACGAGAAAAATAGTTATTATAAAATTGGAATTCAATGAATTTAACAAGCGTAATTGTATTATGTGATAAAATGTTATAAGCTAAGCAAAAACAAACTAGCTTTGTTTCCAGCGGTCAAAACACTCGCATTTTATACTGGTAAAAACCGAAATCATTATACAAATAGAGAGTAATTTATTCAATTTGATTAATAAAAATTAAAGTATTACGTAATTACAGTGTACTTTGTTAAAATTGCTAAAACCAAACAAACGAAAAACCCTGAAAGTATTACACAATCACTGTGTACTTTGTTCCATGATCTTGTGATAAAAAATTACGATAACACTCAACTCCCTTCAGTCGTCCTCTCACATCCAAGAACATCCAAGCAGTCAAAGCACGCTATTCAGTACAGTAACATGCATCTGCAAACGATTTCCTGGACCCACTCATATATAGGCCTACAATTTTTTTGTTGTTTTGGACCCAATTACACTAAAGCTTTACAGGATTAAAATACGACTCTCTTGAGTCGTGTTGAACACATTGTTGAACCTTTTCCCACAATTCATCAAATGCCAGTTAAATACAAATGAAAAGCCTGGAAGACGAAACAGTTAAACAGCAGTTAATTAAATGATAGTTCAACAAAAGAAGAAGAAAAACAAAAACTTAGGCCTTAAAAGTTGATACAGCTGACAGTCTTTAAATCACTACACAGAGTGTAATTCTCAGTACCGACTCGGATGTACAATATTTCGCATAAACAATTATTCCCCTTCAGCTCGAAATGCACCTTAGTGACATAGTGACCGCTTCGTATATAAACTCTCTTCAGAAACCCACACCTGCTTGTTTTCTAAGATATTAATCACGTTGCAGCGCTTGAACTCACTTTAAATGACAGGTTTATCTACTGAGCACGATGCACAACACAGTGCCTCCGTAATGACACACAAATGACTATAGGCGTGTATTTGTCACGACTGCACATCCCGGCTCTCATTATTATGAAAACACTTATTGCTCACATAAACGTAGATCGCTGACATAAGGTTCCATAAATCACGTTTTGTTACAATTTACAATATAGTAATTAGCTATGTTTGCACTGGTCATAAGCCTTACTGCTTATTGTTAACTAGCATAAAATATTAATATTAAATGGAAAGTGACACGATCCAAAAAAAAGTAAGTTTCAGAATTTAAATTCACCGATTTTTGCCCAGTTGAAACAGACTACTATGTAGCCCGCATTCACAAGCCTAACAACCCTTTTACAAATAACTCTGAATATTGCGATTAACAATCCGAAACAGTTACCATTATACATATAAAATCGCATCATTCTTTTTCACAAGAACATTAGCAACAACGCCAATAATAATAATAATAATAATAATAATAATAATAATAATAATAATAATAATAATAATACATTTTGAGCGTTTATAGGTACAGTGCGTGAAAAAATGATCTTGTCGAATCATTTCTAGTGTACTTTTAACATGATCATGATAACTTACAGAGTTGAGATGAGCTTGGAATTAAGCGGCGCTCCGTCACTCACTCAGTCGGTAACTGGGCTGTCAGCGAGCGCAGTTCGCAGGATCACGCCGCAGTCACCGCGCCTCTCCGCCTCTTTACTGCCGCCGCCGCCGCCGCCGCTACTGGGGAAGCCGCGACACCACGGCGCTGGACAAAGCGCTGCTGATTGGCTGCCAGGCAGAGAGGTCCCAAGCCGGAGAGAGAGAGGGGGGAGGGAGAGAGAGAAGACGAGATAGAAAGAGAGGAGGACGGAAAGATGGGGGGAGAGAGAGAGAGACTGGAAAAAAACGCATGTCTGATGAAGCTGTGGCACAGTCAATAGCAAGGGGATGAAGTTCACTTTTAGGACAGTGCCTTGTCCTCCTAAAATCCTGGAGAAGAGGCCTGCACCAGAATTCTCACTTTACCGTCTCAAGGGGCTGTTAATGATTTCTGAAATGAGGAGGACGAGAAACCACCAATTTTAGCTGCAGGCTACTAGCCAAAATTGTGGAAACACTTGAAATTTTAGGAGATTTATTATAGATTCTGCATTGATTGTCTATAAACATTATCTCCAATATTCGTGTAGCAATTTTTAGAGCGTAATGCCAAAAATGCAAAATTCCGTAATTTTGGCCACTGGTTTATGTGCAGAAGAATGTGTTGAGATGTTCTCTATTCAAAGTGCTGTGAGAATTTTGCTGCGGTAAGTCATCTGGACAGGCAGAGCTGAACACCGTACTCCCCCTGACAATCCCCCAACACCGTACTGCCCCTGACAGTCCCCCAACACCGTACTGCCCCTGACAATCCCCCAACACCGTACTGCCCCTGACAGTCCCCCAACACCGCACTGCCCCTGACAGTCCCCCAACACCATCGTGCCCCAGAAAATGCCCCTCCTCGTCTTCCTGTCCAAAGTCCTACAAAGAACATCTTTTCAGTGCTCTGCTCATCAGTCCAAGCTTCACATTTGGGAGGACATCTCCTGTCAATCTCCTCAATAGACTGAGGATCTAACATGTTAGTGTAGGTGAGCTGAACAGCTCCACTGTGACCAGGTAAAGTTATGTCAACGCATGAAGTCTGTATCCTGCTGGGTGTTTTAGTGAAGCAGTTCATGCTAAAGACCATGCATGAGGTTATTAGAGCACAGCCCAGTCTGGGACTGGAACCTGCAGATTTTCATAATTTCAGGCAGGGGCTTAATCAACATGGTGTCATTCGTGTCAAATGTTTGGTTACAAAACTGAGGAGGAACAATTCTGTTCTTATGTTCACACTCTGGGGCCGGACGCAGCGCTGAAATCCAACACAACTGCTCCGTGAAGGGCCTGCTGGAATTATGGGATGCCAGTTTCAAAGTGCATCAGAGCTCTCTTTATGAAACCTTCAGCCAAATGCCTCAACGGAAAAGCCTGACTCAAGGGAGAAATCAGAATGAATAAGCACTTGGGACAGTCACAATCCGAAGGAACGGACATCACGTCCGGCGTGACCTTCCCTGTGTCCATGTCTGTCACCGACGACTTCACCACTTTTTGCACAGGGGTCACGAGTCGGACGAGGTGATGTGTCAGCTTTCATGCTGAAAGGAGGTTAGCCAAGAGCTCCAGGCCTGCCTTGGGGGGGGGGGGACAGCGACACCACCCCTGGTCCCTTGCGTCACTGGTGTCACCCCCGCAGCCATGTCGCCCTGAAAGGTCCTTTAATGCATGATGGCCGTGTGACCCAGCTTATGGGGCTCCTGCATTTGCACATCAATGGACTCCCCCAGACGCCGAGCAGCTACTGAGAAACATTCAAATAAAACCCACAAGCATCTAGACCCCCTGGCCTCGAGCTGCCCACCTCTGCGCCTCGAAGGTACTTTAGGAAATAACATCCCCTGCAGATGTGCCCTGACGCACCGTGTTGCAACTGGAATTCAGGTTGTTTGAAAGAGCGGGAGCCTTTAGATTAGACGCCGCGTTGCAATTGCACCCGAGATATGGAAGGCCGCGAATATTTCGGGAGAAAGTGGGGCAGAAATAACGACATGCCTACCTGTCGGTCACGTAACTCAGAAGCCGACTCCGACTAAGATAAACAGCTGCCGCGTCAATAGGCTTATCAGTAGAATCTGAGTAACAAGACAATGACGGTTCATGTCCACTCCACCCGCCGTCTTTGCGTTTGATGTTGCAGATACAAAGTTGCCATTATTCTTTCGGTTGTCGTGCTCCCTCAGAAAGCAGACCGAGTCTGTGAGGATTCTGTGAACATTTTTTCGGCGAGTCAATTTAAATTCGCGACACGCCACAGAAGTCATTTCCTGCTCCTTCTAGAGACGCTTGAGTGTTTCTCGAAAGCGCGACTGTTCCTCACAGGTAACCCTACCCCGAACACGGCGGGCCGCTTTTGTGCCGAGGTGTTTCGGGCCAATAATTGCTTCCTGAGTGCATTTCCCATTGTGACGCCAGAATCCTTTCAGCGACTTTTACTTCTGTGTCCCGTGGCCTGTTTGCGTGGATAATGGCCCCGGGTGATGTCACTCACTAAAGAGCGGGACGCATTCATATTCAAATCAGGGATGTGGCGGCACGCTGGCACTCTCCGCTGATAAGGAGTGTCGTTTCGGTAAACACTGAAGATTTATTTAACGCGATCTAATCCTGACGTGACCCAAATGCATTTTCTGACATGATTGATGTCCATTTCGCCCAACTGCTGATGTGGCTAAATTCTTACCCGGAAGGACGGGAGACGGCGTTGCCCCGCAGGCCGGCGTGCATGCAAACAGGTGGTGGTGGGGGGGCGGGGGGCGTGGGGGGGGGTGGTGGGAGCAATGTTGGCGTGCAAATGGAAATCTCCTTCATGTGGAATATGAGGTCATCAAGATTCCTCACCTCCTGAAGGTATAAAAACAAGAGCACGTTACGGTCTACCCCCCAAATACAGAATTTCAGGAAAGACGATGCTTCTAGAACATTCTATCCTGGGGCACCAAAGAGGCTTTATTTTGCTGTAACCTTTACAAAACGGTTTGGGGGAAGCTGAACTACTATTTACGCCTCTTTTTGTCTGTATACCTACATCATAAAGCCATAAAGCCGTGAGTGGTCTTGTCCCCCTCCCCGTGCAGCCAAGCCGAATGAGATTAGACACTTACACAATCTTCATGGTGGTTTGTTTTGAATCAGGACATGCGGCCACACTGTGGGCTTGCCCTTCATCGGAGTAGGATGATTACCGCAAGATTTCCCTGAAAGCATGTCTTGGATTAAAAGGAGCGGATTTAAAAGTGGTCACAGCGACAATGTTACCGCAGTAAGTCTGCCTATGTTTAATAGGGCAGCCAACTTCCAAGACACACAATGTAAACGGGGATTAGCGATTAAAAAGCAAATCCTTTAAGATGGTGTTGTCGAGTTAATGCTGTCATTTCTACTGACAAACTTGCCCCGATAATGCCTTCTATTAGAGCAGGTTGTCAAAGAGATTTTGCAGATAAAAATTTGGAAAAAACCATCTGCAATGAGGTACTCAAGTAGTCCAACCCTAAGATGTACCCTTGTTAAGATTCCCTCAAAATAGCATAAAGATAGCCAGTCAGAGATCCGTGCTCATTTTTTGATATTTTTTTTAACCATCCTGTTGGACATGTAAGTCGATATGCAGGAATGCTGCAGGGAGAGGGAATATGAGGTTAAACTCGGAGAGAGCGAACAATTCCACAGGCCGCTGAACTCCAAGCGGATGGAGGATGCACGCGACGGCCCCAAAACGGAGCGATGCTGACCTAAGCCCCCCCCCCCCCCAGTCCCGAAGGAGGGGCGAGGCTGGAGTAAACGATAAAGCTGCAGTTATCATGGGACATTTATCTTCTTAAGAAGACAAAAAACACCACGAGGGCAGTGGGAGCCTAACGGCTGGAGAAGTGTGCTTGTGAGTGAGAGGCTGCTGTTTTGAATCCCAAGGTACCACTGAGGTACCCTGAGCACGGTACCGCCCCCACACACTGTTCCCTGGGTACTGAATTAGCTGCCCACTGTCAAGTCGCATATAGCTTAAACGCAGAGGACAATGTCACTGTGATGTGTGAACAGTCACGTTCTTCACTTTTCAAAATGGGCCACATCTGACTGCTCAAAAGAAAAACAGCCCGATTTCGGTCCTCTTACACAACGCGGTGCTCAAAACCTGGACGTAAATCGTTTTCGGCTTCCGCTTCACCTTGATTAATTATTTTTCCTAAATTTGACACCCCCTAGAATCCTGTCACGCTGACGTTCTCTGAAGAAGCATCAGTCTCTGAGCTGAATGATTATTCATAAATGATTGTTTTCAACGTTCCTTATGAGACTGAGCTCACTCAAGTCGCCACTCCCTATCTGGTTAAAAAATAGCGCAGCGTTCGATGGCATCGTAAATCAGCTGTGCTGGCAGGCCATTTGTGTTTAGGGAGAAGGTCTCTGCTTTGGCTTCGGGTCTCCCTGGGTGCTGGGGGAGTCCGGGAGAGGAGGGGGGGGTTGAGGCGGTCTCTGATATCGAGGCTATGGGTCCCTTAATGAGGACTGGAGCGGAGTGCCTTCGAGACCCCCCCATACAGACTTAACGCTGCAGTGCTACAGACACGCACAGCATCAAGCTACCTCCTCACATGATAATGCCAGCAACAGACATCATTAACCGATTAATTACTATCAATTACACTGTTATCCAGAGGGATCTGTGGAATGTGTGGCTTTAAAGTTAATCTATTTACATACAGAACCTTCACTGAAGCAGTAAGGACAAACAGATTAACCCTTCAGCGAACAGACGGCAATTAAAAGGCTAATACTTTTCCCTAATTAAGCACTGGTGTGATTTTAAATTCTCAAAGGGCGGGGCCACAACCGAGGGCCAATAGCAGGGCGGAACCTTGGTGATCAGGTAGGAAAGTGAGCTGTCAGAGGAAGTCATCTCATTCGCTTTTCACACCTGGGGTGGAACTACCGACCCCTGGTCAACCACCATAGGACCTCGCCGGTTCTCCATAGGTAAATCCCCTAGTGATGTGAGGTAATAACCAACACCCCCACCATCAAAGCAGCAGCGCTCCGAACTTAATACAGCACCCCCCCGAACCAGCCTGTAGGAGAAATAACAGGGGCAGCGTAGCCCCTGTAAAATTCAGTTACTATCAGTGACACGACCCGCATTGTGATGTTAATGTACCGATTTGCAGTTAGC